CGCTGTTTTTTCACTGTTGTGTACTGAAACACCCAAGTCTACATCTGCTTATGTTTGTTTTTTGTTTGTTTGTTGTTTAACGCCGCACGCAGCAATAGTCCAGCTATATGACGGCGGTCTGTAAATAATCGAGTCTGGACCAGACAATCCAGTGATTGATATCATGAGCATCGATCCACGCAATTGGGATACAATGACATGCATCAACCAAGTCAGTGAGCCTGACCACCCGATCCCGTCAGTCGCCTTTTTCGACAAGCATGTGTTGCTGAAGACCTATTCTACTCTATAAGTGACTTGTTATTTATTTTAAAAGGCTGAGATCCCCCAACGATCTTTGTGCTACGACTATCCGTATTATAGGTTTGAGGAGCATGTGAGTTATTACCTAACCGTGCATGTGATCGGTTTGAGACCCCCTCAATCTCATTAAAATCAGATCTTGGTTCTTGACCCCGTGAGGACACTCCATTACAGGTCACGTCAGAACGACCTCTCGCGAACTTTGACCGACCAATTAAATGTCCAACAAGACATTAGCCAATCAGACAGCAGCTTTTTCGAGCTATACTACTCCTTGGCCAATTGTAGCGATTCTGGTAAGATCATGTAATTTGACACCACGTCCTTGTCACTGGAGAGCACCAAGTGGCTGTCACACTTCATTAGACCACGTGGTCAACACAGCACACAGAAGCAAACAGAAGCACACAGAAGCACAGAAATCTTCACAGTGGTCTCATATATGTTCATGTTTCATATATGTTACCTGTAGATTTGCCAGTGATAAATTGAATTTGGTACCAAGTGTGCAAGGAGAGGTTTAAATGTGAAAGATAAGATAAGATAAGATAATATTTATTGCAGAAACGTTCCATTACGGGACAGATGCAATTTTAAAAGACAAGACATTATGATTTATATATACATATATACAGACATACATAATTTACATTCCTGTAGACACATACAAAAACAAAATAATCAGTATTACATATTTAATGATATTTTTATACATAAAATGTCAACGGTTGATTATGAAGGGGTATTTATTGTTTGAAATTATAGTTGTGGAAACAAATACAGTTGATATTGACTGCTTCATTATTTGACAGGATGTATTGAAATAATTTATCTTCATGACTGTGAACATTTACATTTACATTTTGTCTGGATAATTTTTCTATATAATAATATAAGAGTATATTTCTTTCTAGAGTGTGTTTAATACAGTGAAGTAAGTAATGTTTTTCGTTATCAATGGTTGAACATGTAGAGCATAGCCTCTGATGTAGTGGGGTTGGTGGCTTTGTGTGTCTTCCAAGTTCAATATTTAATTTATGGTTACTTAATCTTAGTTTAGAAAAGTGAACTCGATATCTTTTTACTTTACAGTGACTGAGACAGGGTTCTAATTTTATTTCATTTTTAACTATCCTATATGTCCTAAGTTTGTTTCCTGTGCCTCTTGTTGAATTTACATCTTGAAGAGATTCCTTGAAGAGGGAGTTGAATTTAGATTTGATTGTCTCTTTGAATATTGGTGATAGGAAAGCTGAAATACTCAAATTGTGTTTTCCTAAGAATATATTTAGCTGGTAAACCCATCCTAATCGTTTTTTTCACCAAATATGTACTTTCTGTAAAAGCGTTCTGAAGTATTATGTTTTTGGAAGAACAGACATGGTGATTAAAATTTGCTATTTTGATTAATACTGTGTAGATAAGGGGGTAGAGTCCTAGTTCAAGACAGTGAAATGAAGCGCTGTCAATCTGCTGAGAGCACAGCTCTGCTTTGAAAATACAGTGTGTTTACCTTCTAATTCTACCATGAATGAATTAAACATGAAGGCATGGGTTACTAAGTGGAACCAACATTTAAATAAAGTGAACCATACTATGACGTCTTTGCATGCTGTCCAGGATGTCGCCCTTCACAGAGAGAAATGCAACAAGTTTAAAATGTTTTGATGTTTCGACCTTTGTAATACTCTGAACTTTGTATGGTGTTTTATGTTCAACATGTGCTGCTATACGAACCATATATGGATGTAATATACACTATTGTACCATTTTCAAGCAATGTTAGTGACTTACATCCTCACAGTGTGCGTGCCATACTGTGTCTGCGCAGTTGGTCAAGCAATGGGGGGAAAACTTGTTTGTGTATTGTAACATGAGTTCCAGATCAGAGAGGAATTTCTAGGGGTGAGATATGCCATACCAATCACCGGATGATACATTTACTGCTTCTGTAAAATCACATAGGCTCTCTCCCGCTCAGGCACTCACTCACTCAGGCGCTCTCTCACTCGGGCACTCTCTCACTCGGGCACTCTCTCACTCAGGCACTCTCTCACTCGGGCACTCTCTCACTGGGGCACTCTCTCACTGGGGCACTTTCTCACTGGGGCACTCTCTCAATCGGGCACTCTCTCACTCGGGCACTCACTCAGGCACTCTCTCACTCAGGCACTCACTCACTCACTCACTCAGGCACTCACTCACTCAAGCACTCACTCACTCAGGCACTCACTCACTCAGGCACTCACTCAGGCACTCACTCACTCAGGCACTCACTCAAGCACTCACTAAGGCTCTCTCCCGCTTAGGCACTCACTCAGGGTCTCTCACTTAGGCACTCACTCACTCAGGCTCTCTCACTCAGGCACTCACTCACTCAGGCACTCACTCACTCAGGCACTCACTCAAGCACTCACTAAGGCTCTCTCCCGCTTAGGCACTCACTCAGGGTCTCTCACTTAGGCACTCATTCACTCAGGCTCTCTCACTTAGGCACTCACTCACTCAGGCACTCACTCACTCAAGCAGTCTCTCACTCAGGCACTCTCTCACTCAGGCACTCACTCACTCAGGCACTCACTCACTCAAGCACTCACTCACTCTCACTCAGGCACTCACTCACTCAGGCACTCACTCAAGCACTCACTAAGGCTCTCTCCCGCTTAGGCACTCACTCACTCAGGCTCTCTCACTCAGGCACTCACTCACCCAGGCACTCACTCACTCAGGCACTCACTCAAGCACTCACTAAGGCTCTCTCCCGCTTAGGCACTCACTCAGGGTCTCTCACTTAGGCACTCACTCACTCAGGCTCTCTCACTCACTCAGGCAATCACTCACTCAGGCACTCACTCACTCAGGCACTCACTCACTCAGGCACTCACTAAGGCTCTCTCCCGCTTAGGCACTCACTCAGTGTCTCTCACTTAGGCACTCACTCACTCAGGCTCTCTCACTTAGGCACTCACTCACTCAGGCACTCACTCACTCAGGCACTCACTCAAGCACTCACTAAGGCTCTCTCCCGCTTAGGCACTCACTCAGGGTCTCTCACTTAGGCACTCACTCACTCAGGCTCTCTCACTCAGGCACTCACTCACTCAGGCACTCACTCACTCAGGCACTCACTCACTCAGTCACTCACTAAGGCTCTCTCCCGCTTAGGCACTCACTCAGGGTCTCTCACTCAGGCACTCACTCACTCAGGCACTCACTCACTCAGGCTCTCTATTAATCAGGCACTCACTCTTACTCAGGCACTAAAACCCTCTCACTCACTCTTACTAAGACACTCTCACTCAGGAAGTGTGACTTAGAGAATCTCTCTTTAAGGCCGTTTTTATTGGAATCAAACTGGGATTCGAACATGTGACAAGCATATTCTGGAACGCCAGCCCGCGTCCCAGTAGTAGAAGTAGACGTCGTCGTCGTAGTAGTGGTAGTGGTAGTAGAGGCAACAGTAGTCCGCAATATTCCAGCAATAAGACGGCGGTCTGTATATAATCGAGTCTGGACCAGACAATCTAGTGATTGACATCATGAGCATTGATCCACGCAATTGGGATCGATGACATGCATCAACCAAGTCGCCTCTTACGGCAAGCATTGGTTCCTGAAGACCTATTCTGACCCGGATCTCTAATATATAGTAGTAGTAGTGGAAGTAGTAGATATATAGTAGTAGTAGTAGTAGTAGTAGTAGTAGTAGTAGTAGTAGTAGTAGTAGTCTGATTGATGGTAAATACTCGTGAATACTCGTGAACCAGATACCATTATAATGTCACGACTAACCTTATTTGGCGAAATTGAACCGATATTTAAACTAACTATATCGTAGCTAATCTTGAAATAGGCTATATAAACAGGACACGTGTCATATATGTAACTGGTTGTGCCACAAGTGAACTGCGGAAAACGAAACGGACTGACCTTGAGAAATAATATATGTATTATATTCTAGCACGGACACTTGAAAAAGACTATTTCTGGACAGAGTCAACTGACGCAGTTGGTCAGAGTATATTGGCCACATCCACCTTGACTAATTACTTTACAAAGAGCAATGATGTCAATGACGGCGAGAATGTTCAACCAATTAACTCTCAGATTGCCGCTTCACGTTGCATGCAAATCATGTGTGCACGTGCTGCACGGAGAAATATCATCCCACCCGTGACATTTCCCCAAAACACGAAGACATGTACTGTTTTATCAGCTGATCTGATAAGACGCGCACAGGGATTTATCGAGCATACAAGTCTACCGTTGTCGTAGTTGCCACGAAACTACGAGTAACTAGCGGCTTACGCTATACATTCATAAACATTCCCCGCGCCCGGCTTGGCTGGCAACCTGCCAGAAATGGCATGTGCAACTTCGGTGCTGATGTTAGAGTTGTTACGATTAACCAATCAGATTACACGGCTCCCAGACCAGTCCATATACTTAGGAGGAGTAGCTTAACTATCCATGCGGACGAACTTGACACAGTTACGGAAAATTACAAATCAAACTTTCTTGTTGTCAAGTATCCATCACGAAATAAGCTGTTTATATTGATTAGGGGCATGCCACTTTGAATACTGTTGTTCGTTTTGTTGGTATTGGTGTTTCACACGTTTGACCTATTTCTTCTGGAACCCATACCCCCTGTTAGAGAAATACCGAAACCCACCATTCAATATAGACCATAACAGCCCACCACACTCGCTGCAGACGAGTAAGGCTCGCAAGAAGGCAGAACTGACTGAACTCAAAGAAACATGGGACGGATTTAATATTTTTCCGGGATGAGTTTCAATTCTATATGATTTATCCGTCTTCTCAAAGGAGCTACGTGGCAACACGAGTGGTGTCACTTCTCCGCTTCTATGGGAAGTCAGTGATCGCTTTGAGGCGAGCGGTGGCCGAGCTGGCGAAGGGGCGTCTGAGAGTCAGAACCCAGGAGCTGATCTGGGGAAAGGACCACATTAGTTGGATATTACACATGACTTCCGCGGAAATGCTACGGTTTCTAACTCAAAAGCTTAAATCTCAGTCTATAAATGAAGTTCAACCATTTCCAGGGCAGGTGAGTGTCGCATTTTACAAACTATGCACACCCATCACCCCTATTGTTGTTAATGAACTAGTCCGCCTCGTCGCTACGAGAACCTTGATACGCTTACTACTACGAGTGTGCGGCACGTTTTTGATGTCGACGTATTTTATGTGATTTGCGGTTTTCGCTGAATTGTGGAGTAGTAGATGTTACATGTGTTTTGTTTCCTGTTGGGAATTGTATGTATACTGTATAGGCGTAGTTAGAGACAGTTGTCATTCCCGGGGAAATGAAATTTATTCAAGTTAGACACCTGGTAAGACGACTTTTTGACAGCGACCACTTTCTTTGTTCTCGGTAAATATACTATTTATATTAGATGGGAGGTGCGGCCTGTTGTGCAGGCTAGGCTTATTTACATTACAAGATGACAGTTTAATAAAATGCATTGGAGCGTCTTTATTCAATTGTTATGACCACTTGTCCTTATAAACGCGTCTATCAGCTTTATTTATAGACATGTTGACGTACAGCAATTGCATGAACTGTAGTAAGTTCCGTCCCAATGACAGTGATAATTGCCTACCGAGTTATTCGGCTACCAGTAATGTTGCCCTTTTGAAATGTTCACTTATACAAAGAGTATTGTGGAAATGGATTAAAAAAATAATATCCTTGTCGTCTGCCAGCCCTGGCACGTGCAGCGCGGGTGAGACTGCGCGTGAGGCAATATCTGCTGGTGTCATCCTCCTTTCCTCCTCTTTTGTTGAACAGACGGATGAGGAGGACAAGGATTCCGGAACCGAGTCGGATGATGAAAACGCACAATTCGAGGAGCTCGAGGACAGTAAGTAACAGTTGTATGTCGTAGTGATAACGTGTTGTATGACATGCCCTTATGCTGTGCAACTCTATCCCCAGTGTGCATGATAAGTCAATATGACAGTACCAGTGCACTTACCTACTCTGAATGTCAGAATGTGGACCATGCATACATATGTGTGAGTTCTGTAAGAATAATCAGCTATGATTCCTGAGGAATGTTATTTGAGTGAAAATGAAGGTAGCGTATCTTCCTTGCCTTGGCTGGATAGAATGGAATCATCGAGCTTCTGTTTAGATTTTTCTGTGCACACACTGGATGGTTTAAGCCTCCATACTGTACACACCACAGTGAGCAGTCTTCCATGTGGTGAAGTGAAAGTACGTGTTTCTGTGGAGGGACCACCTGCTGTGTGTGTTTTATGCAATGGGTGCTTGTGGCTGATACAATCAATATTTTCTGGATGCGAAGGGACAATACACCATATTGCAATAGTTGTCGTACCAGATGGATGCTGGGGGATTTTACATCCATCATATTGCATTGGTGGCAGTGGCAGATGGTTGCTGGGGATGGGGGATTATACGTAATATTGTACTAGTGGCAGTGGTGATGGATGCAGGTGTATAATACATCATACTGCACTAGTGGCAGTGGTGATGGATGCAGGTGTATAATACATCATACTGCACTAGTGGCAGTGGTGATGGATTCAGGTGTATAATATACTACTCAAAAGAAGTTAAGGATCACCTGATTCTTTCATATTACAATAGTTAATCTCTCATGCCATGACAGATTAACATTAACAATATGAGAGAATCGGGTGATCCTTAACTTCTTTTGAGTAGTATATTATACACCTGCATCCACCACCACTGCCACTAGTGCAACATGATGTATAATACACCTGCATATACTTTTGAGTAGTATACATCATGTTGCACTAGTGGCAGTGGTGGTGGATGCAGGTGTATAATACATCATGTTGCACTAGTTGCAGTGGTGATGGATGCAGGTGTATAATACATCATGTTGCACTAGTGGCAGTGGTGATGGATGCAGGTGTATAATGCATCATGTTGCACTAGTTGCAGTGGTGATGGATGCAGGTGTATAATACATCATGTTGCACTAGTGGCAGTGGTGATGGATGCAGGTGTATAATACATCATGTTGCACTAGTGGCAGTAGTGATGGATGCAGGTGTATAATACATCATGTTGCACTAGTTGCAGTGGTGATGGATGCAAGGGAATGATAATACATTGTATTGCACTGTCACAGTTTGGTGGCAAGCATGATATTTCACACTGTTTTCCTGTTTTCATGCTTTGGTCATTTCAATCAAGTGAAATACACAACCTTTGTTTGTGATAAAAGTCAGGATTTATGAAGTTTATAATCTTTTATTCATATATACATACACATGGTGTATGACAGGAAATTTCGAGATTTCTTCACATGCAAAATCATAGTGATGTATTGGACCTCATGGAGTAATGACCAGTGTACTTTGTATCAACCATGACATATATGTTTATACAGACAGTAAGACTATGTTGTACCTACTGTGGTAATTGGACAATGCAGCGTACCTGTTAGACTGAATTTGTCATTTATCAATTAAATAAATATTCATACACTAAATGCATGAAAGAAGTACTTCTAGAAATATACATCATACCTTGTCAAATACCAGTTCATAATGTTGTCAGAGAAATGATTTTTCTTCTAGATGTGAAGCAATGACTCACGCCTCTTTCCCCCCACCCCCACCCCCACCAGCTCAGACCCCCACACTGTCAACCTGCCCATACCTACCTTTCTATACTGGCAACCAGGGAATAGCCTATCATTATATTTATTCTTGAGCTATTAAGAAGAAACACAACATATGCAGCTATGGGAATTGGCTGACATAGGAAATACAGAGTTAAAATGATACGAAAAGGGCGATATTTTTGCTGTGAGCTCCCACAAGCCAGTACACAAAGGCACAGTCCCCTTGCTCAGTAATCAGCTCCCAAGTTGGCAACCAGCCAAGCTCCTCGGAGTCGGTGGACTGACCGAATTCAAATACCTGAGCCTCTGGGCTTTGAGGCTTGCCCAACCTCTCCTTGTAGCGTGTAACGGCCACTGTTTACATCCATTGTTCATAATTGTTACGTTTGATTACATTGAATTTCTTGTAATAATTGTTTCATTCAATAATTAAATTATGTCCATAGTCCATATCTGAGGTATTCATTTATGCCAACATATATTCCCTCTAGGTTGAATTGCCATTACATGATTAATTTGTAAATTTTTTAAAATCAGGATAGTGTGTGTGAGGTTCGTGTTAACTGTGAAGAAAGGAGATGTTGATTCACACATGTGACAAAAACAGTAGTTAAACCCTTGACACCTTAACGACATAGGCTCTTCATTATTATTGACTTTAAGAGATGGTACTTGTTGTTACCCTGCCTGGGGTTCAGCATAAAGGGGATAAAACAAGGACTGGTCAGCTTGGGAGTCTGTGTACTATGTTTGAGTGGGATATTCATGTTAAACTACAGTTTCTCAGTGGGCTAACACTACAAAACTGGCATTAGTCTATACTTGTACAAGCAGACACACACACACACGCATGCACGCGCACACGCACACACACACACACACACACACACACACACACACACACACACACACACACACACACACACACACACACATGGCTATATAAGGGCAATAATCTTGGGTCACGACGCTAAACCCCATTTCACCTTATCATCAGTATTGGTTTCATACTTATTGTGCCCGTGAAGATCCTAGGGTAGAATAGGTCTTCAGCAACCCAGGCTTGCCGTAACAAATAATCCTTATGCTCTTAGGGAATATGAAATAGTCATGCAATCGAGGGATATTATGTTACATACAAATTTAGGCTTAGACCCTGGACTATATATTATACCAAATAATAAACAAACTTAGGCTTGGCCCAGGCATTATATATTATATACCATATAATAAACAAATTTAGGCTTAGACCAGGGATTATATATTATATACCATGTAATATACAAATTTAGGCTTAGACCAGGGATTATAAATTACACCTATATACTATGTAATATATAACTTTAGGTTTTGACCAGTTATTATACTATGTAATATACAAATTTAAGTTCAGACCGGGTATTATATATCATGAACTATATCCTATACGAATGTACGTTCTGACCAGGTGTTGTGAGGACTGTGACATGCTCTAACAGTACATATCACAAAGCATCTGATGTATGTGTCAAGCTCCAGAACTTGCAGCACATATGTATGCTCTAGTAAATAGTTGAACGTTATTGTGTTTATGGTTTTCAGTAAAACATATGTTTTATTTATTACTGTAAACATGTGATGTACAAATGTTGAATATAATTTAATAAATATTTGTTCCCATCAAAAGCCTCATAATTTATTGGTGAAAATGACAACGATTTTAGAGTTGGCAAATATATCACTGTTGAGGATATTCAAATAGAGAATTATTATTTGAATGCTGGATTGTGGTGAGTTAGTGAGTAAGTTGGGTTGAAATGTGGCCTGTGTGTTTGATAACATACCATACAAATGATTTGTGTGCATCATTTCACTTGCGATCTTTGCCAGAGTATCTTAAACTGATTTCAGTGATGCACATTTGATGGTTGTGTAATAAAAGTCACCTTTGTATTATTTAAGTAGATTAAGTGAGAAGGACATTATTGAAAATCAGTTATTTAATAGCAGTGAAGATGTTAAATATGCCAGGCATTACTTATTACATTTATGAAAACAAATGAAATTGATTTTATTATAAAGACATTGTTTTCATGAATTAGGTATTTGCCAATATACAGATAAATTATTGCTGCATACACTATCAGGCCCCTATAAAAAGATAGCAACTTGTAGAGAGATTGGGTGTTGGTGTACTTAAATTGTTTAGCCTACATATAACACAAAGATGTTAAATATTATAGGCATTGATTTTTAATGCATGGAGATACGCAAAAAACCCAAATGAAATTGTTTTCATGTATTAAGTATTTACCAATATACAGATTAATTATTAGTTATCAGGCCCCTATAAAAGCTAGCAACTTTTAGAAAGATTAGGTCATGGTGTACTTAAATGGTTTAGCCTACAAGTAACACAAAGGCCGGCTACAGAGAACGCAAGACACTTCCTTCCCATCTGATCAGCTTACATGGGAGGAGAACACAGGCTCTAATCAGTATATCGCTCCAACAGACAGCATGGTGGCAGGAAGATATATCAATTATGTACTACATATCTTCTCTTTTGTTGTGGCACAAGGAAGGACGACCATGCAGTTTTGACCATAATGAATAAGACATAAGATTTTCTGTTTCCTTAGCAAAGATTGTACAAAGTAGGTTATTACATGTAGGGTCATATACATTTATACATAGATGTACTACATGTGCCACATTTTAGAATGAGGGATGCTACATTGAATGAGTGATACTACACATATTTTGATGGGGTGATATGATTGTCAAGTACTGCATGATATTTAACCTATGAGAATTGTATACATTTGTTGCAATATGTTCTCTGTTATAGTCAGTTTCAGGCAAGGTGTGTAACACTGTTTCATTATGATGGGCTAAATGAGTCCTAAATACCCCTACTGATGAAAAAAAAGAACAAGAAGACCAAATGTGACATGTTGTAAACAATTGTTACAAAAAATAGAAATGCATGTACTTTCTATTCAATTACCCATAAGTCCCATAGTCCTTTCAGAAAACTGTAACAAATAGACCAGGGCCGACATGGGATGACAAAACAGTTTCGTTTTGTCAGTCATGGAATAAACTTAGGCACAGCAAGTATTATACAGCCATAGTTATCTCTTGTACTATTGTTTAGCACTGTTGTCCAATCACTATTTGAATGTTCCAATAGAATTGCCAATAGCTGTATGGAGTCGCCTTCCACAAATGTTTTGTAAAAAGAGATTATGTATGTT